TGTAGTAACACTGTACTAACACTGTAGTAACGCTGTAGTAACGCTGTAGTAACACTGTAGTAACACTGTAGTAACATTGTACTAACACTGTACTAACACTGTACTAACACTGTACTAACACTGTACTAACGCTGCACTAACACTGAAGTAACACTGAAGTAACACTGTAGTAACACAGTAGTAACACTGCACTAACACTGTACTAACACTGTACTAACACTTTGTAACACTGTGTAACGCTGTAGTAACGCTGTGGTAACGCTGTGGTAACGCTGTGGTAACGCTGTACTAACGCTGTAGTAACGCTGTAGTAACGCTGCTGTAACGCTGTAGTAACACTGTACTAACACTGTAGTAACGCTGTAGTAACACTGTACTAACGCTGTAGTAACACTGTACTAACACTGTAGTAACACTGCACTAACACTGCACTAACACTGTAGTAACGCTGTGGTAACACTGTAGTAACACTGCACTAACACTGTGGTAACGCTGTAGTAACGCTGTAGTAACGCTGTAGTAACGCTGTAGTAACACTGTAGTAACGCTGTGGTAACACTGTAGTAACACTGTAGTAACGCTGTAGTAACGTTGTGGTAACGCTGTAGTAACACTGTACTAACGCTGTAGTAACACTGTACTAACGCTGTAGTAACACTGTACTAACGCTGTAGTAACACTGTAGTAACACTGCACTAACACTGTACTAACACTGCACTAACGCTGTGGTAACGCTGTAGTAACGCTGTTGTAACGCTGTGGTAACGCTGTAGTAACACTGTAGTAACGCTGTAGTAACACTGTAGTAACGCTGTGGTAACACTGTAGTAACGTTGTGGTAACGCTGCAGTAACACTGTACTAACGCTGTGGTAACACTGCAGTAACACTGTAGTAACACTGCACTAACACTGTAGTAACGCTGTAGTAACGCTGTAGTAACGCTGTAGTAACGCTGTAGTAACACTGTAGTAACACTGTAGTAACACTGCACTAACACTGTACTAACACTGCACTAACTCTGTGGTAACGCTGTAGTAACGCTGTTGTAACGCTGTGGTAACACTGTAGTAACGTTGTGGTAACGCTGTAGTAACACTGTACTAACGCTGTAGTAACACTGTACTAACGCTGTGGTAACACTGCAGTAACACTGTACTAACACTGTACTAACGCTGTAGTAACGCTGTAGTAACACTGTAGTAACACTGCACTAACACTGTACTAACACTGCACTAACGCTGTGGTAACGCTGTAGTAACACTGTAGTAACGCTGTAGTAACACTGTAGTAACACTGTAGTAACACTGCACTAACACTGTACTAACACTGCACTAACTCTGTGGTAACGCTGTAGTAACGCTGTTGTAACGCTGTGGTAACGCTGTAGTAACGCTGTAGTAACGCTGTAGTAACGCTGTAGTAACGCTGTAGTAACGCTGTGGTAACACTGTAGTAACGTTGTGGTAACGCTGTAGTAACACTGTACTAACGCTGTAGTAACACTGTACTAACGCTGTGGTAACACTGCAGTAACACTGTAGTAACACTGCACTAACACTGTACTAACGCTGTAGTAACGCTGTAGTAACACTGTAGTAACACTGCACTAACACTGTACTAACACTGCACTAACGCTGTGGTAACGCTGTAGTAACGCTGTAGTAACACTGTAGTAACGCTGTAGCAACGCTGTAGTAACACTGGTAACACTGTAGTAACATTGTACTAACACTGTACTAACACTGTACTAACACTGTACTAACACTGTACTAACGCTGCACTAACACTGAAGTAACACTGAAGTAACACTGTAGTAACACAGTAGTAACACTGCACTAACACTGTACTAACACTGTACTAACACTTTGTAATACTGTAGTAACACTGTAGTAACACTGTACTAACACTTTGTAACACTGTGTAACGCTGTAGTAACGCTGTGGTAACGCTGTGGTAACGCTGTGGTAACGCTGTACTAACGCTGTAGTAACGCTGTAGTAACGCTGCTGTAACGCTGTAGTAACACTGTACTAACACTGTAGTAACGCTGTAGTAACACTGTACTAACGCTGTAGTAACACTGTACTAACACTGTAGTAACACTGCACTAACACTGTAGTAACGCTGTGGTAACACTGTAGTAACACTGCACTAACGCTGTGGTAACGCTGTAGTAACGCTGTAGTAACACTGTAGTAACGCTGTGGTAACACTGTAGTAACACTGTAGTAACGCTGTAGTAACGTTGTGGTAACGCTGTAGTAACACTGTACTAACGCTGTAGTAACACTGTACTAACGCTGTAGTAACACTGTAGTAACACTGCAGTAACACTGCACTAACACTGTACTAACACTGCACTAACGCTGTGGTAACGCTGTAGTAACGCTGTTGTAACGCTGTGGTAACGCTGTAGTAACACTGTAGTAACGCTGTAGTAACACTGTAGTAACGCTGTGGTAACACTGTAGTAACGTTGTGGTAACGCTGCAGTAACACTGTACTAACGCTGTGGTAACACTGCAGTAACACTGTAGTAACACTGCACTAACACTGCACTAACACTGTACTAACGCTGTAGTAACGCTGTAGTAACGCTGTAGTAACACTGTAGTAACACTGTAGTAACACTGCACTAACACTGTACTAACACTGCACTAACTCTGTGGTAACGCTGTAGTAACGCTGTTGTAACGCTGTGGTAACACTGTAGTAACGTTGTGGTAACGCTGTAGTAACACTGTACTAACGCTGTAGTAACACTGTACTAACGCTGTGGTAACACTGCAGTAACACTGTACTAACACTGTACTAACGCTGTAGTAACGCTGTAGTAACACTGTAGTAACACTGCACTAACACTGTACTAACACTGCACTAACGCTGTGGTAACGCTGTAGTAACACTGTAGTAACGCTGTAGTAACACTGTAGTAACACTGTAGTAACACTGCACTAACACTGTACTAACACTGCACTAACTCTGTGGTAACGCTGTAGTAACGCTGTTGTAACGCTGTGGTAACGCTGTAGTAACGCTGTAGTAACGCTGTAGTAACGCTGTGGTAACACTGTAGTAACGTTGTGGTAACGCTGTAGTAACACTGTACTAACGCTGTAGTAACACTGTACTAACGCTGTAGTAACACTGTACTAACGCTGTGGTAACACTGCAGTAACACTGTAGTAACACTGCACTAACACTGTACTAACGCTGTAGTAACGCTGTAGTAACACTGTAGTAACACTGCACTAACACTGTACTAACACTGCACTAACGCTGTGGTAACGCTGTAGTAACGCTGTAGTAACACTGTAGTAACGCTGTAGTAACACTGTAGTAACACTGTAGTAACACTGCACTAACACTGTACTAACGCTCTGGTAACGCTGTAGTACGGTAAACTAAACTAACCGGTTATACTCTGTCGGTCTTTGTCTTTGAACACTGAGACAGTCTCTTATCAACATCGTCACAGTTATGCACTGACGATAGACATCAAAGCTACATCATGTTCTGGAAAAAAGAAAACATGTCAGACGTGACTGACAGAGAGAATGAATTATGTTTTTTTTATTCATGACGGGTGTGAACATTAGAATAATAAAGAAATACATCATTAATATACAACATTAGTTTGGCATTTTAACGTGTGTATCAACAGGTGGGTTTTGTGTAAAAGCTGTTGCGTCACAATCACAGTATCTGAGGGCTGTTTATGTCTTTATGGGATCATGGGATTTGATATTTGAAACAAAAGTAAGTGGTCATTTGTTGTGCAGCACAACTGTTTGTACTGTTTGTACTGATGCAGGTCTTGAGTTTGTTCTTTCTATAGTTTCCAGGTGTTTGGGTTGGTTTGCATTTCTACTTGAATTTCAACAACATGTAGAGGCACCATATTTGATGACATTCTTTTCATTATTCAGAACCAGGGCAGGTGACTGTGTGTCTGTGTGTGTGTGTGTGTGTGTGTGTGTGTGTGTGTACGTGTGTGCGTTTGTGTGGGGGTTACAAAGCCTGGGGTTCTGCACTTTCAGCATTGTTCCATGAGACATGACTGACAGCTCACACCAATGTTAGTTTTACCGGTTTCATTTTCCCGCAGGCTAATGGACTAAGAATAGCAGGTAACGACCCTGTGAAATTCCACAGATTTTGAACGTCTGCAAATTAGTTTTGACTTTTTTCTTGTTCACTTTTGCACCCAGAGCTTGGTTAAAATGCACCTGTGATTTTCAAGTTTGGACTGTCCTGGTTAAAGAAGATTCTCATGTGTATTAAGACTTACTAAAGAAATCTAAGAATAGAAAACACACAGCTCTGCGTGTCTGAGAATGTCAGGGCCATAATTACAGTGGAATACAGTGGAATTGTATTATGGTACAATAACAGTGTCAACTCGTCACTATCTGTCACCGCTGCTAAATGCATGGCATTAACAAAGGACAAAACATTATGACAAACACAAAGAACACATCTGATAACTCTCAAGAATGTGTTCAAATCTTTTGTCGTCTTTGTGGCGAAGGAACAGGGCAGGTGCGTGAAGAGGAGGAGGAGGACCCCAAGCCCAGAGAAAAAAGTGACTGTTCTAGCCCGGTTTCACACTTCAGTCTGCAGGACCCCGTCCTCATCCAGCAGGTCTGTACTTACACCAAAGACCAGAGGCTCTGGACTTCGGTAAGATTATTTCTGAAATTGTAAACTTAGTGTCACTGTGTTTTTCCATTTACAAATAGTCGTTATAAACAAATGAGTAATAATAATTTTATCAATATATAATGTCATTATAGCGTCTGAGAGTACTGAGGTTACACCAAGAGAATCAGGGTTTTTATGTTTTTACATGA